GGGGGGTGTGGGAGAGGGCGAAATTTCCGACCCCCCAAGTGGGAAAAAAAAAAAAAAAAAAAAAATCAGTCTGAGGTTTGAGTTTTATCTCTGTTTTATTGCCCCTTTTTCTTAGTCAGCTTTTTGTGATGTGGCCCTGATACGGAGACGGCAGCTGAGTCTGGGAGTTTGTCTGCTCGGCCGATGATATGATGTCAAAAAAATGTGGAAAATAACACAGAAAAATATAAATGACGGACAGACGGACGCACAGATGGACGGATTGGTGTGGATTAATGGCAGCACTGATATCAGCAGTGGGCAAACTGTGGCTGTTGATATTTTCTGTGAATGAAAATGTAGCAGTGGTACTTTCCACCTCCCTGCTCCTCTCATTTGTGTGTGTGTGAGAGTGTGTGTGTGTGTTTAGTTATCAGGGGAGCACAGTATAGCTCTGCTGAGATTAAATTCCCAGAGCTTACTCTGGCTATCAGCATACTTCAGCACACACATGCGCCGACGTCTGTACTCTAACACTCTCTCACACACACTTTTTTTAAAAAATTTTTCTACTTTTCCTGCAGTGTTTTCTCCATCATTATCTTTTGCTCCACAACAACCACTGCCGCACTCTCCTTTAGCAGGGCATTCAACCTGCAACTTCAAGCGATAAAAGAACGAACGAATGAACCTGCAACTCCAGCAGGCGCGACCTGCAGGATTAATCAGAGGTTTTACTACAGGAAGAACATTACTGCCGCAGCTGTGCCTCTGACAGATTCACCTTTACGCCACAATTTATAACATCTAATGATCAAGTACATACGAGATGCAGTAGAATTGCAGGTATTTGCCTTTATTTATTGCACCTGTTCGTCCCGTATATCGTTAGAAGTCTGTAAATTTCCCTCTTGTTAAAATGCAAATCTGTCTGCGGTCGAGTCGCGGCTGACGGTGAAGCCGGACGACGGACGGAAACCACGGTGTTAAGGTTTCCGTGTTTTGTCATCAATGGGAAATAAAACGTCCTGTAGGTGTCACCAAAACGCTCTCTGAGGTTCAGTCACTTCCACCAGAGAGTGTGTGTGTGGGATCATGGGAATTACTGTCAGAACTGTTTAAAGCAAATACTTATTTGGAACTCATTTAAAGACTTTTTTTTTTCTTTTTGTAAGTTAAGATGTGAGACTTAAGCGATGAGTGACTGCAGAGAAGAAGAAACCGACAGTTGACGGAGCAGGTTCTTCATCACGCAGTTAGGTTCTGT